ACTTGCAGGGGCTTTCGGCGGTGAGCTTGGATTCCCGCAATGCTGCTTTTACATTGGGTGGCCGATGGTTCCGCGCTGAGCTGGTCAAGGCTTCGGACGTTGACCATACGGGTGCACGGTGGCCCGATTGAATCTAAGGTGGAGCCTGCGGCCAAGGCCGAGTTGACTGCCAATCAGGTTCAGGACAGCATGTCGGTCGGGGCCGTGGACAGCCCGGCCGATGACGCCCGCACTTTGGCGGTGGACTTCGATGAGCAGGGCGAGCGGTTCAAGGAGTGGCGCTTGGTGGTGGCTGAGAGTAGAGAGTATAGTTACCGTGATTGGCCTTGGGAGGGCCCTCTCACAGTTCAGTACATTCTCAAACAGACCCTCAAGCAGGGGGGAAACCCCAAGCAGTGGCTATTACTTTGGGCACGTGCAAAGGGAGTGCAAGAGAACGACAGAGTGATGCACGAACTCCGCACCATCACTGAGGCCCTGTACCAAGGGGGCGTGTACGACCAACTGAATATGGCCTGTCTTTCAAGCTTCGAGGTGCTTTGCAGGCGCTTGGCTAGTATAGTAGACGCGTATTCAGCTGGGAGTGCTAGCGGCCCTGATTGGGGAGCGGCTCGCTACATAACCAATCTTCGGGGGCCTGAAGACATTGTGGCCCCCCAGCTTCGAAACTGGGCGGCCAAGCGTGGCAAAGATGATGTGGAGCTTGCAAATGCCAGAGCCAAAATCAAAGATCATCGCCGTCTTCTACCTCCGGATGGTGAGGACGGTGACCCGGCTACAGGTTCAACAGATGCGGGCGCGAAGGCCAAACCCGGCAAGGGCCGTGGCCGCGGCGCCCATGGTACATCATGAATACCTCGAGGGGGGGGGGGCCTTGAGCCGGGGCCCTTCTCCAGTGATGCCAGTCGGCTCGCTCGCGGGGGACATGAACTCTTTCCTCTTCAGGTGCCTCCTCCTCTTTGTCAGGAACGACAGGTTAGCAGAAGGGGATCCCAAAGATTTTGCCGTAAGGCCCGTATTCGTGATGATGTCAGGTCGGCTGTCTCCTCGCTTAATTGGATGCGTGGTTCAGGTGGCAACGCTCCACCTGTTGCAGTGCCTGCTTCTGCTCAGGAGGAGGTTTTTCTGCGCGTTGAGAATTTGGCCCAGGATGTTGCCAAACCACGTGACGTGGGCGACGTCCTCAAACCTGAGGCAGCCTTACTTGCGCTGCTCAAAGGCCGGGGGGAGTGTCAGGCTCCTGCTGAGCCAGTAACTTTGGCGCCGTTCTGCCTCGAGCGCGTGTCCCTGCCAGAGAGCTTGTCGGGGGTCCCCCCTGCTGGCGCCAATCTGCCGGAGCACGCCCGTCGATTTTTGGACAGGCCCGAGCTTATGCTGAAGGAGGACCCGCCTATCGAGTCCTTCACTCCGTA